AAAATTAATGTACATGAAATATGTTTCATGAAGGTGAAACTGGTTCATGGCGTTATTGAACATGAGTAGTAAAACGGGTGCATAATGTATTTGGTTCGTCAGGAAATAATGCATGATGAAACGGGTACATGAAGAAACTGCTCCAGAATCTTGAAGATTGTAATATGCTCCAGAATCTTGAAGATTGTAATATGCTCCATAATCTTTATGATTGCAAGGCTTAAATAAATGAATTCATCAAATTAGGAGCGAAATAAAGAAATTAATTTACATGAAATAGGTTTCATGAAAGTGAAAACTGGTTCATGGCATAATTGAACAATGAGTAGTGAACTGGTATGATGGTGAATCTTGTTTCAGTGACGTTGAAATGCAAAATAAAACGGGTGAATAATGTATGCGGTTCGTTATGAAATACTTACATGCAGAAACAGATTCATTATGAAACCGGTGCGTCTTGAAATCATTTCATAATGAATAGGGTGCATATTTACATGGTTGTGTGAAAGAACATTGAAACAATTTCAGGATAAGGAATAAAAAGGCTGTAACATTAGTGAAAAGTGAATAAAGTTCATTATCAATATCATGAAATAACAAATGACGCATCAAACCATGAGTAAAATTTCATGTTTTATCATAAAATTCTATGAACGCAGTAAACATTTAAGAAAATGAAACTATTTCATGTTGTATTATAAAATTTTATGAACTAGTAAACAATGAAAAATTTTCGTTATCTAAATGTAACGGATTCATCTACCAGTATAATGAAAATTACGAAATATGATCAGTATTACATTGATTAGTTTGTTGATGAAATTTTGAAACCAATTTCGTTCATATAATGTAATTCAAATTTTGAAACGATTCATTATATAGAATTGAATATGGTGTGTTTTATTTATTTTTTTGATATATACTTTATTGATGGATGTTATTTAAACGTAAAAATAATATATTGCTTTACAAAATAAAATAGTTTCATTTATAGTATGGTATGAAGGATATTGTTGCCTCGAATATAATGTATTTCGGTTTACCATTTTGCCCTTATTGCTGATATAAAATAAATTTTTAATATATATATTTTTTTAATTTCCTAAAATAAAGTAAACTAATCTTGACCATTGGATCAAGAAAATGGATGGATGAGATTGGTTTACACGGTTTACACAAATGAAGGCGGTTTTCATTTGAACGCTCCTCTATATATATATATATATATATATATATATATATATATATATATAGAGAGA